CTAATACTAATAGTTCCTACTCTATTTACCTATCAAGTTTCACCCTTTTAGGCCGACACTTAATTGGACAAGTAATTTATCTTATTAATAGGCGACGACCGTTGGCAGTTGAATAAGAGATCGCGAAATTATATGGCGTCAATAAATCCTGTTAATCTCGTGATCTTTGCCTAGTTCAAATTTCTCCCGGGAAAACAATGTTTCAAAATTCTACAATGCTCGTTCTGAAACAAAGCTTACTCTCTCTCACCCTCTCTCCGACAGTCCGACATTGTGCGTACGCATGTGCGTGTGATCAGGTGCTCGCAGGTGCCCCAGCTTCAGCCAAACCTGAGTGAATGTACAACGCCCCGTTTCCTGGACGGGTACTCACGGCAGCAAAAGAAGAAGACGAAGGATTGCGGTGGAAGACAGGCATCCCAAGAGGAGATTGGAGTCCCCAATTTTGGACAAAAACAATTCTGCGACAAGACTCAGAGACGGTGGTGGGAGGGGCGGGGGCAACAAACGCGAGCACGGCTGTGGCCGTCCCAACCCCACCCCCCGCCCCAACCGGGCCCCGCCCAGACGGCCACTCCGTGTCCTCCAATCAGAATAGAGCCCTTCTTTGTGCACAGAAAACTGCTTTGTCGGGTAGACACGACAGCCAAGAGCAACGGTTTTGAAGCAGCCTGTTAGCCTTTTCGGGGGCTTTACATGGAATTTTAATTTATGTCTTGCATAATTAGTTTCCATAATTAGCTCTTTGTTTGCGCGGCCATTTTTGCAAGTATGAGTGTCAAAGATCAAGCCGGGGGAGGTGGGGGCGGGAACGAACGGACCAACACAAATGGAAATTAGCGTTGCCACGAAAATACACGCGAGTGGAGTTTAGCCAATCGAGACAAAGAGAGTCCTTCCAGTTTGATGGATGGCATCACTTGTCGGCAATTCGCTGCCGATAGTCTGACTATTCAGAGCCGTGGCATCCACGACGTGGCTGCAGTATCATAAGGAAATCATCGATTATTGTCAACGAAGATCCATGAGTGTGCCCAGATGATAGTTGGTAGAGCGATTTCAGGACGAAGTACGTAGAGAGCGAAATTACGGACTTTTGAAAGTCTGGTAAGTGTCCCTAGTAGCGGACTGACGTTTGTTTGGAAGTAGAGGCCCGCACTTACGGAGGACTCCGCAATCTCAATAATATGTTGAAAAAAATTCGGCAAGTATGCACGTAGGCATTTCCGGAAGCAGAAATATCAGAACGGGCCAAAGATTAATTTGGACCAGAAGAGACCATTCGTAGCGTCCCGTGCAAAGATACCTAACATTTCAGAACACTAGATGAGGCTGCTACAAACTGAACTAGCGCGTTGACCACCCGGGGAGGTCTTCAAGTAGAATCGTCAGACATGACATAATTTTTCGCACAAAAGAAGATGCGAGTCTGAGGAAGTAACTGACGGATATTGAGAGCGAATGGCGACCCGCACAACTTTGAAAGCCAGGGCATATGCAAACGTGAAATGAGAGCAATTTCAACCGGACCAAAAGTTTGCCGAGCTCTTTTGTACGTGCAGAATGTATTGGAAGCAGTATGCCGCCTTTTAACTCCACTTGGAGTTGGAGTTGCACAGAGGCCGGAAGCAACCATCGGGCACCTGGTCGTGAGACTGAAGGACCCACTGCCACGGCAGGAAACGGCCGGAATCGTTCTTTCCGGATCTGGACCATTTTTAGACAAAACAACTGCGTCGGAGAAACCGGGAGATTACACCGGACGCGAGTGGCCGAGCGTGCAGCGGCGGTGAGGGAGAAAGACGCTCTCTCCCAGGTTGCAGCTTACTTGACGGCACCTGGCCTTATTTTAAAATTAAGCGAGGCTGAAATCCTCGCAAG